AATGTACATATTCAATGTTTACAAACTATTTCACTGAAATGAAGGATTTTTAGCAAGAAATACTGTTTTGAGGGTTTAAATTATTTAGAAATGCAATTTCATGCTAGTGATTCAGTCAGGATTTAATGTGCCCTTTCCTCTCACAGCTTATGTAAATAGAAGCCATGTTCCATCCTTATGTATTACTTTGGTTTAGAAATTATGAAGTGGAGTAGTCCGGGGACTATCTGCATGCAGTAAGTGTTTGTAGCATTTTGTATTTGTAATGCATGTCATTTTTAAGTCGAGGACAACTGCGCTCAAAAGCCTAACGTTGCAGTGAATGCAAGAGTATTCTGTTTTCCTGATGACCTGCTGCTTGGAAGAACGTTTCTAGTGATCACTTTTGGCCTTTTGTGCAAATTCTGCTGAGCGTAGTGCTTTCTGTTATTGGTAACGTCTTTGGGGTTAGACTGCTGAACGAGGACTCAACAGGCAGCAGTCTCCGAAGGGGACCCTTCGTTAGCATCTCCGCTTTCGCTGTGTCTTGTACTGAATTGTTCATATTAGCTTTACATGTTCCCATGTATGAACTAGGGTTCTACAGCAAAAAAATTTGTAGAATTAGGGTTAGTCCAAATTAGTGAGCAATGTGTAGATTTATCTTCTGCCTGCTCTATGAAGTATAATAACACTTATTTTCCTTTTTGGTCGTTGTGTTGAATGCTCATTTTGGGACAGCATAGAATGTGGGAGTAATTCTGCATTTATGAACAGAAAACACTTAATTTTTGCATATTTTGTTATGTGTTTTTGTTATTGGCTGTGTGTGTAGCTTCAGTACAGTAGCAGATCTGTTTTCTGTATATTTGTATTTTTATTGCTAAGTTGTTGACAGTCAGTGGAATATTTAAAGCTGATGTGGTGGAGTAACTATTTTGGCTGTCCATCTTCATCTCTTTCTATGAATGCTGAAAATTGAGTGAGGAAATAATCTCAAACACCTGAAGCTTCCCTGTAGGGAACAACATAGCTTTATTTTGCTTTTAAGATACTCTTCGCCTTCACTGTAAGTTTTTTCTTATATGTAAAAGATGTACCTTTTACCTCTTTCTTTTGTAATGCAGAGTATTATTATTCTTGAAAACATCATTAAAATAGATTTTTTTAAGCACTTGGTTACATGTTTACTGAAACCGTAGCAAATACAGTTATGCTTTAACTACCAGGAGTCAGTGATTGCAGACACCCGTCTTGGCCGGAGCTGGCAGTAAGGAAGGGAAGAAATGCCATCATTTCCCGTGATGGTAATGGTTCTTAGCTAGAAATCTGCAACTGAGCTCTTTCTTTTTCTGGGTAGGAAGCCGTGGTTATTGGGTGCATCTGACTGCCTGCAGATTCCCATTTTGTTCCATTAAGGGTCTAACAGATGCAACCGGCTGTTGTTTGTATCACTTGGGAGAGAACAGTGTATTTCTAAATAAAAAGCATTTTTTCATGGGGGAACAGAACCAGATACTGGATTAATCCCTCCAGCTTTGGACCTGAATGTCTGTCCTGGTACTTGTGATACAGTTTAGAAGGTGTGATTGAAGCCATCTCCAACTTCAGGGAAGCTCAGAAGCCCCGTGCCTTGCAGTGGCAGAACTCTCCCGAGAGAGAGATGGTTCCAGCTTTTGACTTGCCTGTGGTTGTCTGCTCTGGTAGTTCAGAGGCTGTTTCCAAGTGGAAGAGTGGATGTGTGCAGCTCTGCTGAATGCTGCGTGCTGCGGATGCTCGCACACTGCATCCGGATACATTTATTTGCATCAGTAGAACCTATACATTCTTTAGAAATAGCTGTAATTAAGCAAATGATAAGATCTCCAGCGCAGGAGATGAAAAAACTAATCTTGACTTTGAAGGTTGGTTCTATTGTTAATGGAATTAATTTAGAGAAATTGTGTGGTGTGTGCAGGAGATCAGAATAGATTATTACAGTGGTCTCTTATGACTTAATCTCTTATACTTTTAATTTTAGAAGTTAATTCAGATGGGGACAGTTCTTTGTGTGAAAGTGAAATCTGAACTGGGGCAGGATTTCTACAGTGTAGGCTCAAGTGAGAGGAAGGTCTGGCTCTGTAGCTTTTCCTCTCTCACTGGCCTTAGTGGTGGTTTTTTCTGTCTCACTGAGATTCAAATTATATTTTGATTGCACAAGTTTCTTTTTGGTGTTGTAGCATTGGGTTGTGCCAAAACCTCTTGGTGTTGGAATACTCTGAGCCTTGAAGAACTGGAGTCAGAGTATTCAAGGTGTTCCAAGGTCTTGTGGTCTAACACAGGTGAGAAGGCAGAGAGTACTTACGGCAGCTGCTGTTAATTTCTGTTCGTGAGTAATCTGTAGGGCAGGTTTTGGGCCTGGACATGGAAGACCAGTAAGAAAGATGATGTCTACTTGCAAAGGTGATATAAGAGAGAAGTTTTCAGTCTGCAGAAGGTTAATTGTGATAGGTTGCATTCAGAAATTGATTTGGTCCTTGAATATGTGTCTTCAATGCATATAGAATGTCACGAGTGGTGATTATAGGAGTGTGAAGATACTGGTGTTCCCAGCTACCTCTGCACAGAGAGGCTTGATGATGTGATGAAGTGTTTAGAAGATTGGAAGCACTTGCTTCCATATAATATATTTGAATTAAATGTAGTATTTTGTACTACAGCAACTGCAGCAGGTATCTTTACAGGATAACCATTTGACCATCTCTCTCTTAATTTACTAGAAACGCAGAGCATTCGGACTCTGGAAGGAAGAGCTTGAGAGCCAGAGGAGCTGAGTCCATACGACGCGTGCAGAATAGGCAGGTGAAGGATTCTCCCTAGGACTGACCTGCGTTCTGTTTTGCTGCCAGCTGCTGTAGGTCCAGTCCAAGCGCAGTGTCAGAGAAAATCTAACCCAGAGGTAACATGCTTCATACAGTGATGCTAAACCTGATGCTGAAGAGCCGTAGGAACGGGACAGTTTGGGAAAACTGAGAATGCTTGCTTCAGTAGCCTTGTGGGCTGGAAAATAAAACGAAGGGATGCTGTATCAGGGAATTAAGCACTTTGACTCATTTCAGTCTTTAAAACTCTGCGAGCATCTGGTACATAGATTACAAGAAGCATTATATAGAGCCAGGATTTTTAGATATATGGATAGAGCAGACCAGCAATCTGCAATTCAGACGTTCATAAGGCCATTCATTTTTCAGTCCTTTCCCAAAATTAATTAAATTGTGTATGAACAAGGCTGCAGCTTTTTGAAAATCCATCTAGTGAAGGCTTTTTTGGTGCAGAATCTGTTGCAAATTTCAACTTATCCCAATGCTGATTGTTTTCAGTGCTTAAAAACAAATATTTCTGGTTGCTGTTTGTCTAGTTTCGCTTTCCAGCATGGAACTATGTTTTATCTGACTGCTCAGTTAAAAGGGCTCTTACCAAGAGCCAAGATTTCTCTTGCACAGTGACGGAGGGGGCTATAAATAAATCACACGAGTGGCTAAGTGCTGTTGGAAACTTTGACCATATGAAGATTATGCATTTGCTGAAAGGGGTGATACTTGTTTCTTTTGCAAAAGAGTGAATGACTATGAAAATGAAAAGCCAGTGCACTGAGGACGATGCACATGAGAACTCTTTTCATTGTTTCATACTCTTGTTTCAGAAGCTTGGTCATGAAGTAACAGAACACAAAACCAAACAAAGGCATTATTCAGTTCAAATTCTTCCCCTTGAAAGAAAAAAAAAAAGCTTAACAGATTCCTAACTTCTGTAGTATTTTGTTTCCTATACCTTCAATAGCAATTGAAAATTGATTATTTTCCTCTAAAACTTCCTTTTCAAGCTGTCTTCCATCCTAGGTATAAATACACTGGAAGAAACAATTTTTCTTCACTAAGGATCTGTACTGTTCTAATATGTCTTGCCAAGTATTTTTAAAAGCAAAAATATGTTATGAATGCAGAAGGTGTTTCTACCCTTTCTCATCTAATGCATACATTTATTGCCTAGCAGGAAAAATCAGAAGAGGGGAATAAGCAATTATTTTCGCCTGGTAAAGGCTAGTGATTCACGTCCTGGGTTAGCAGGCCTGAATTACTTTTCTAATTTATGAAAGAATGCATAAATTAAATTAATCTGTTCAAGAATCCGCAGGCAGCAGTTAATAACAGCAGAAATGAGATTGGAATATTCCTTTTAAGAAATCATATTTTTTAAATTCAAAAGCAAAGAGAGTCTCTAGGCACCTTTATGTGATAGTTTACTGGAATATCTCCTGCCCCTGCTTTTAACAGCAGCACAAAATACTCCGGTGTTGGGGATCCCATTTCCCATTCTTCACTGGTGGCAGCGGAGCCCATGTTCTGATAGAAGCGTGCTGCAAAGCAGTGAAAAGGTCTGCTGGGCAGTTTTCTGTTTCCTCTGTTCACCCTGACAGTCTGAGGGGGTGGTTATTGCCCGGACAGACTCAGCGCTGATGTACCAAACAAGGAGTGAAGCCGTAGCCAGAGGAGTGACCTGTGTGAGCTGCGGGACGGGGCAGGCGTTCACTTGAGGCACTAGAACGTGTGAGAAGCAGAAATCAGTATCTTGAGTGATATTTTTGAAAGCATTTGTTTTGTTTTGGCCAGTCATGCTGCATGTCAGCAGTGCTGAGGTGTTGTGACGTGACCGATGTGGCTCATCAGACGAGGTGGTAAATCACGTCCATCGTTCAGGGTAATATTTTAATTCAGTGTTTGCCAGATGGTGTTTTGTGAAGTCTGCCGGTACAGCTCTGAGAGGGTGGCAAGGTTGCCCGGTGCTCGAGGTGGGGTTACTGCTGTCCAGAGAAGCCTCAGCTTTTCCAAGGTAGTTCAAAAAAAATCCACAAACCCAAGAAATCCTCTGTTTTTCTGCACTGCAGTTCTTGTTAGCAGCAGCTGCGAGGTTTCCTGCTGTGAGGGGCAGGCGGGGGTGACACGCGGATGCTGTGTGGATGCTG